TAATTATGTATCCCTCCTAAAGACATATTAGAAGGAATAAGGGCAATAAAAACAGAAAATAAATATACATAGGGTGTCATTCCCTCCCTCTTTTATATATGATTTCACTAGCAACAAAGCTAAGGAAGGAGTGCACAAGTATTATATCTGTTGCTTCCTATTCCAAAGCCTGGACCTTTAGGCTACATTAGTCTATTTAAAACAAAAACAAAACTGCCCAAAGGGTAGGCAAAAGTGGTTACTATTGATGACAAATATTTACTGGGCATAGGGATCGCAGAAAAGGAGTCTTAATACTTAGTATTATAAAACCGACAATTTTATTATTCGATTTGAATAAAACACCAGCGTGGATGCAAACATCAATCATAATAGATTCAGCACATAGAAAACATGAACAGACAAAACAGAATAGACAAACAAAAAAAAAATAAACATCCGGACACATGTAAAGTCACACATGGGTTACATACCGCAGCACCACGCTGCTTATGTTGTCTAGAATAACTTTCAAGGTAACCACCATGTGTGAATCTGGGATCTCTAGGGGCCCAATATTCAAAGAGACACAAGTGCACTAAAATAACTAAAAAGTCTTGAGGCTTAAAAAGCATGCTCAATTGGGTGGCCAGGACCTAGGTGGTCAGTGTGTGGCAATTTGTATGAAAATATTAATCCGTTAGATGGTTATATCCCATATGGAGTCAGAAGGATTAGTTCATCACACAGGTCCCCATAGAGTGTATTTCAGGAGGAGAAGACCGCAATTATCCTGTACGGTATAGGACTTAATAAGTGCACTTGACAACATCAGGAAGTAGCATAAATCCAACTGTAGATATGGAAATTATGGGCAAACTGTGAACAGCGTCACCCCAGGATAAATAGCCAACCTGATATGGCACGCAGTTACTTGAAACTCCGTTTTTCTTCTGGTCCACCTGGACCTAATATCAAGGAGTATTAAGTATTCTTGTGTCCCTGAGGTCTCCACTACTTCCCAGGGAAGGGCGGCACATACATTACCGCTCACCCACCTGTCCACAGCTGTTCCACAGTTCAAAATGTCAGACCAAGCCTCACGGAGAGTTGGCTGCTGTTCCTTATAGCTTTGTGTGGGTCAAAAATCTCTCCATGCTCCTACCGACACTCCAGGACGCCATCACAGGCACACAGGGCACCATCACCACAGAGTTCCCATGTGAGGGTTTGCGTTAGGTGACATTGCAGATGACGTCAACGCGTTTCACTAGAACATAGCATCGCTTCATCTGGACGTCATCAATAGTAACCACTTTTGCCTACCCTTTGGGCAATTTTGTTTTTGTTTTAATTGTTTTTTGGTTACAGTGACAAACGCTCAACTTTTAGCGGATGTGTGTTGGTATATGCATATATATTTTCACCAACCTCAAAGGCTATTTTTTGAGCACATTAGTCTATTTAAACTGATGAAAGGCTAACAGCAGCAGCAATGTTTAAATGTACAGTAGCCACACTGACAGCGGTTAGCTGCGATTATGGATGGATGTCCAAACCTGAACACAGTCGACTTATAGACTTATATGATTAAGGATTCACTGGATTGCATGGATTTTAACCAATAAAGTATTTGTGGAATTTATATGGGCTCCTGCTATTACGTTTTATAAAAAATAATTATATAAAATATATATATATATATATATTTTACACATACATATACATAAATAAACACACACACTAAAGTTGAGGTTGCGTTGCGTACATAGATACAAAATATGTCAAGTCTCCTAACTGCATGGCCATGAAGCAGGAAATAACTGCAGGACCCAAAACTGTGCATAGGTGATGCCTGTCATCAATTTAGAGTTAAATCAGAGCTACACCCAAAAGGGGAGGATTGGGGGAGCAGGGGGGAGCAGAAGTTGTCCATCCCCCCTCCCCATAATCTTCTGGGACACGTGACAGGTACCAGAAGACTGCAGGGCCATTCTCGCGCATGCGCAGTGGGCACCCGGCTGTGAAGCCGCAAGCTGTCACAGCCGGGTGCCCACACTAAACATGCTGGCGCCAGGGAGAGACGACAGCTGGTGAAACCAGCCATTGTGAGGACACCGCTGGACCAAGGGGACAAGTAAGTGTCTGTATTTTAAAAGTCAACGCAACAGTTTTTGTAGCTGCTGACTTTTATTTTTTTTTTTTTTTCAGCTGGAACTCAGCATTAAAGTATTACTAAACCCACAACAGTAAAATCAGTCTGTATATGAAGTAAAGCATGCTTGTTAAACTCACTGTGGAACCTAAGGGGTTAACCCTCCGCATTGTGTAAAAAGGATGTTTGCTCCTGTCTTCCCTAAACCTCCCCTTATTCCACAGTCCCCAATCCATCTGCTGATTGAACAGAGCCTTGTGGGCAAGCTGCATATGCTCAGTTTGGTGTGTAATGCTAAAGAGATTTTTTTCTCTTGGGAAAGTGCATGTGACCAGCACAGGGCCAATCAGCGCTGTCCAGACAAAGAGGCCAGGGGTCCTGCAGCCTCATAGCACAATCAGGGGAGAATGAAAACTCCTCCTACAAGCTTTACCCAGTGCTCTGCTGGACACTGATAGAAGTAAAAAAAACTGCTCTAACTGCTGATGAGAAAAAGGTATTTAGCAGTTTATATTTACTAAAATAATTGCATTTCCATGTTCTGTGTACTGTGGGAGACCAGAGAAAGTGAATACAGGGTCCTGGGTTTAGTAACACTTTAACTGTTTTGATGATAATTTCACCAAAGAAAGTGGGAAAAATCTGCAACAGGGACACCAAATAAAAGCTTATGATGGGTTCTAACATTCCACCTCTACCAAAAACACAGATGTAGGCCTTGTTCACACCATGGTGCAGGAATGTCAGTTTTTTCTGCACACGTTCTGCAAGGGCACAACAAAATCTATTGTTTTCTATGTGCCCTGCGCACACCACAACACTAGTATCACCTGTAGATTTTTTTTCTGTGCAGGAATATGCAACATGTCTAAAATGCATTGAAGTGTGCAAGAAAACTGATGTCTCTGCAAGAGAAATCTATTCATCAGTTTTTCTGTATGTATGGTGTGAACGAGGCCTTAAGGGTGTACAAATATACTGTACTGATTTTTTACTTGCTGTGATCTATGCAGATCGTAAAATGCAGATGATCTCTCCTGGACTCATCAACTGTAATAATTAGCTGTCAAAATTTCTTAGGGCTGAAACACACCTTTGCCATATGATGCCTTGCACAGTAATACATTACTGCACATTGGGGTGTGCTAGATTGAAGCTGTGTGAATGGTCTTTAGCTACACCACCCAGATGGAAAAAGGAATGAAGGGAAATATGTGAACTATGATATTCACTGCATCCTAGATGGAGACCTCCTTTTATAACTTGCCATATGCAGAATATCACCAAGCACAAGGAGAAGGCTTAGCGTGAGCCATTTCTCAGCCATCCAGACTGGTTATTGACAAAGCTGCCAGTTCTACAGAAGGTAGACCAATTATTGATTTATTACAAATATTCAAAAAAGCAAATATTCAAGAATTTACGCAGAGCTTTACATATGGTACATTCACATCAGTAACTGCCCTCAAGGAGCTTACAATCTAAGGTCCCTATCTCACATGTACACCTACACAAACACATACTAGGGCCAAATTAGACAAAAGCCAATGAACACACCAGCATGTCTTTGGAGCGTGGGAGGAAACCCGAGTGCCTGGAGGAAACATGCAAACTCCATGCAGACAGTGACCTTTACATATAGTAGAATTTTACCAAGGCCCCATTCACACTTGTGAATGGGGCTGTTAGTATAACCTGCAGGAGACTCAGCGGGTTTTCTGGCTATTAGCTGCAGGCGGGAAGCTCCAGCTGTGTATTCCCCTGCTGGCAAAACACTGCCCCGCACAAAGAAAGCAAGTAATCATGTTGTGTGAAAGAGGCTATAAAGCAAAACTAACCCATGGACTGAACAGTTTATAAAAAAACAGTTAAAGTTATTCTAAAGGCTTATAGACAAACATGTCTATATTTACCTGCTGTGTGCAGTGGTTTTTCAGAGTAGTCTGGATCCTGCTCTTTTCGGGTACCCCCGCTGGCGCTCCTGGCCCCTCCCTCCTGTCAGGTGCCCAGACAGCAAACAGCTTGTTCGCACAAGGAGCTGGAGCTCGGCCCCGCCCCCTCTCTATTCTCATTGGCTCACTGGCTGTGACTGACAGCAGTGGGAGCCAATGGCTCCCATTTTTGTTTCAGCCTATGAGAAGAGGAAGTCACGGGATAGCCGAGGCTCCAGTGCACATTTCTGGACTGAGAGGGGGCTTAGGTAAGTATTAGGGGGGGACTGGGTGGGATTCTGCACAGAGAAGGTTTTTTACCTTCATGCATAGAATGCATGAAGGTATAAAAAACAATGAGCCTTTAGAACCGCTTTAAATTCCTGGCATACCGGAAATGCTGTCACATTTGCTTGTGCTCTCGACCAAACTGTCAAACCATCAAATGGCTGGTATCATAAAGGTGAATTCATACGGCAACACAGAGCAGCAGGAGCAACTCTGCGTTGCTGGCTAAGCTAGGGAGGGAAGTGTGGTGTGCAATTCAGCGTACAAAAATGTTTTTGTTTGAGCTTTATTAAAAGTGTGCAAAATGTACATTTCATTCACTGTGATGTCGGGCAGCACAATGTGTTGTCATTCTTGACATTGCAGTACAATTTGGTCTGGTGCGCTGCGATAAAATCACTAAGAACATGGCTCCAATGTCTCCCAGCGCCTGATCTTTGCTGCAGCTCTAGCACCTGTGATGTGAAGATCGGGCACCGGGGGAGCTGACTGGCTGAGCCTGGCAACACCCCTCTCTATCTGGGGCCCTGGGCACATGCTTCCCCCCATAGTTTTGCCCTGAAGCCAGGCATAAAATATTTACAGATGAATATTAAGTGCACTGAGGTGGAGGGTTGCAGCCACCCACTCTACCCCGTTCTACATACCTGGAGATGAGCGGGTCGGCGCACAGGGGTGAGATTGCTATCCAGCTTAGTGATGGGGTCCAAGAAGATCTTGTGCACGTCAAAATCAAACTCCATGTTGACCAAAGTGGGATAAGTGTGTGCTAAGATACGTGTACAATCGCGTGTCAGCTGACGCTCACAGGCAGATATATTCATTCACATTCCATGACTGGCAGCATTTCCTTATAGCCCCCATCACCTGCACAGCTGTTCACACCTTTCTGTTACAAGGAGACATAATAAACATCTTCTATATACAATCTGTGCAATATTTATATTCCTCCGTAAATATAAACCGTGCAGCCTCTGGGCCTATTATCGCACCAGTACTTACCGGTACATATAGATGACTGAGACACCTAATAAATCACATGCTGACCGCTCTATGGAAAGGACTGTACGCTGCTCTATACATCCATCACATCACAGACATTGGGGCCACTATGCCTCCCCCTCTGACACGTACAGCCCAGCAGCGCGCACCCTTCCGTCCTCCACTACACAGCGCGCCCCCGAGACAATAGAAACCGGCGCTAGACGGGAGGCGAGAACGGCGCGGTAGCCACGTGATCAGCATCCCGTCCAATCGCTTTTGGAGCGTCCGCTTCCACCTAGCAACCGCTTCCCTAGCGACATAAGCACACGCCCGGCAATTGGCTAGTAGGGGAGTGGGAGTGGTGGGGGATTCGCCCAGCTGGAATGCTCGTGCCTGATACTTGCAGCAATAGGCTTTTATTTGACCACGCCTCTTACAGTACAGTCTATGTGATGTGAGGCTAAGCAGCTCCCTAGCAACCGCGCAGGCCTTCCTTAGCAACGGGGATGATGTTCCTCATACATACATAAGAATTCATCAATTCATTCATTCATCTTTCATTCATAATACATAAGAATTCATTCATCTTTCGTTCATAATACATAAGAATTCATTCATCTTTCATTCATAATATATAAGAATTTCATTCATAAAGAATTCATTCATACATGGAAATACATTCACACCTGATTGACTTAAAGCGGTAGTAAACCGCCAGGAAATGGGCCCCTGCAGGTTTAGGTCATGACGTATTAAAATGCACAGCATACTAGTATGTTATATCCGACTTACCTGTACACGGAGCTCTCCAGCACGGAGCTGTCGCGGCTCCGCAGTGCCGTTATTTCCACCCGCCCTTTCTTCCAGATTCACCGGCTTCTGCAGAACGAACGGCTGTAGCCGCGATGACGTCACTCCTGCGCATGTGCGCGGGAGCTCTTTGCTGCAACATTGAGCTCTGAAGGTTCAGCACCCTGCGCTGTCCCTGTAGTGCACATGTGCCAGTAACATCTCCGGCTGCATGCTGTGTGACTATCTCCTCTACGGTGCAAGTTCAGTGTACCTACAGGAGTACCTACAGGGTTACATGTAGGCACAACTTACAGAGCGGACTTTAGCTCTACTTTAACCACTTACCCTCCAGAGGATTTACCCCCTTCCTGACCAAGCCATTTTTTTGCGATACAGTGCTGCGTTACTTTAATTGAACGGTCATGCAACGCTGCACCCAAATAAAATGTATGCCCTTTTTTCCCACAAATGGAGCTTTCTTTCAGTGGTATTTGATCACCTGTGCATTTTTTATTTTTTGTGCTATAAACAAAAAAGACCGACAATTTTGAAAAAAATATATTTTTGGCTTTTTACTATAAAACATGTCCAGTAAAAAAATTTTTTAAAAATACCATTTCTTCATAAATGTAGGCCAAAATGTATAATGCTACTTCTTTGCTAAAAAAATTCCCAATATGTGTAAATTAATTGGTTTACGTGGAAGTTATAGCATCTACGAATGGCGGTATAGATACTGGTTTCATTATTATTTTTTTTTTTACACTGTTAATGGCGGTGATCAGCGACGTATAGCAAGACTGCAGCCGGCATTCTGACACTGGGGGGGAACTGATTAACTGCCACTGACATCCGCAGTGACACTAATACAGTGATCAGTGCTAATATAAAGCACTGACACTGTACTAATGACACTGGGCAGGAAGGGGTTAACATCTGGGGCGATCAAAGGGTTGACAGTGTGCTTTGCGTATTTCACATTATGTGCTGTTTGTGTTTTACTGTGTAAGCATGTTGCTGTATATCACTCCGTTATGTAGCATGCTGGAGCTAATGGGAAAGATCTGTATTGTTTACATACAGACCTCTCACCTGTCAGTGTTCCTTGGCGATCGCCAGGTGTTGGCGGGGGAATCTCTGGGTGGAACCTGGTGATCAACAGCTGTAGCGGCGGGTAGGGTGGTGTGCTCGCCCCCTACCCAGGAATGCAAAATCACATATATATATACAGTGGGGATCGAAAGTTTGGGCACCCCAGCTAAACATTTGTATTAATGTGCATAAAGAAGCCAAGGAAAGATGGAAAAATCTCCAAAAGGCAGCAAATTACAGATTAGACATTCTTATAATATGTCAACAAAAGTTAGATTTTATTTCCATCATTTACACTTTCAAAATAACAGAAAACCAAAAAATGGCGTCTGCAAAAGTTTGGGCACCCTGCAGAGTTAATATCTTGTACTGCCCCCTTTGGCAAGTATCACAGCTTGTAAACACTTTTTGTAGCCAGCCAAGAGTCTTTCAATTCTTGTTTGAGGTATCTTTGCCCATTCTTCCTTACAAAAGTCTTCCAGTTCTTTGAGATTTCTGGGCTGTCTGTCACGCACTGCTCTTTTAAGGTCTATCCATAGATTTTCAATGATGTTGAGGTCAGGAGAGTATGAAGGCCATGGCAAAACCTTCACTTTACGCCTCTTGATGTAATCCCCCGTGGATTTTGAGGTGTGTTTAGGATCATTATCCATTTGTAGAAGCCATCCTCTCTTTAACTTCAGCTTTTTCACAGATGGCATCAAGTTACCATCCAAAATTTGCTGAAATTTTATTGAATCCATTTTTCCTTCTACTCGTGAGATGTCCCCTGTGCCACTGGCTGCAACACAACCCCAAAGCATGATTGATCCAACCCCATGCTTAACAGTTGGACAGAGGTTCTTTTCATTCAATTCTGTGCCCCTTCTTCTCCAAACGTACCTTTGCTCATTCTGGCCAAAAAGTTCCATTTTAACCTCATCAGTCCACAGAACTTGTTTCCAAAATGCATCAGGCTTGTCTATATGTTCATTTGCAAAGTTCAAACAATGATTTTTGTGGTGAGGACGTAGAAGAGGTTTTCTTCTGATGACTCTTCCATGAAGACCATATTTGTACAAGTATCTCTTTATAGTAGAATAGTGGACCACAACTCCAGTGTCTGCCAGATCTTTCTGGAGGGATCGTGCAGTCAAACGTGGGTTTTTAATTGTTTTTTCTCACAATCCTGCGAGCTGTTCTGTCTGATATTTTTCTTGGTCTTCCAGATCTTGCTTTAACTTCCACTGTCCCTGATGACTGCCATTTCTTAATTACATTCCGAACAGAAGATATTGACATCTGAAAACGCTTTGCTATCTTCTTATAGCCTTCTCTAGCTTTGTGAGCGTCAACTATTTTCAGTTTCAGTTTTCTAGACAACTGCTTAGAAGAACCCATGGTGCTGATTGTTGGGGCAAGGTCAGATGAGTCTGGGCATTTAAAACCTTTGAGATTGACATCTCCTGGTCTTCCCAGACGATGATTGAGAACAATCCATGACACTGGCAGGTCTCAGCTTGGCAAAGGGGGCAGTGCATGCTATAAATTCTGCAGGGTGCCCAAACTTTTGCAGACGCCATTTTTTTGTTTTCTGTTATTTTGAAAGTGTAAATGATGGAAATAAAATCTAACTTTTGTTGACATATTCTAAGAATGTCTAATCTGTAATTTGATGCCTTTTGGAGATTTTTTCATCTTTCCTTGGCTTCTTTATGCACATTAATACAAATTTTTAGCTGGGGTGCCCAAACTTTCGATCCCCACTGTATATATATATACACATGTGATTTTGCACAGCCCTGCTACCCTATAGCAGTAGTTCTGATATAGGACGGTTGGAAAGCGGTTAAAACAGGTTTCCTGCCTGTTTACAATTGCTATTGGGGGGGGGAGTTGAGTGGTGTTTTTGCCACCCCTTAACTACTCCCCCTTTTGCTGCTGAGGCAGCAGCAGTGGGTGTACACAACTGCAATGCTTTGGTTTGCGGCCATGGCAGGATTTATACCTCCTGTCCTGCTCAGCGGGTGCTACCACCCGCCAAGCACGACTCATTCAAGTAAATGGGGCACATTCTAACCGCACACAACATGTGCAGTTGTCCAGTATTTAGGGGGTTAAAACACCTCCTATCTATTGCTGTCTGAAGAGCAAATCAAACACAGATTAGATGTCACACAGCAAAAATTGACCATATATTCACTGGTGCCTATTAATACTTGCGCATCATGTGACTTGAAGCTTGTCGCTCAAAACTCCGAAGAGTACATTAGCTTCTTTGGGACACAGTTGCCACATAGACATTAAGTGGTTGTAACCCCTCACATATACCCAATTAAAAGCCCCCTAGCCCGAGCTGTCATTCCTGCAAGGAGAGGAGAGAACAAGGCAGGGAATTCAAATCCACGCTGCTTTCTCACCTCTCCTACCACTGAGATTATGGAGCATCTGCCTCCATAGTATACATCCTCACACACCTACTCTCCACTGCGGGAAATCTCCCTGCACCGCTCCTGCATGCTGACTGCGTAGGTTCACACAGGAGCAGTGGAGAAACCAAATGTGATTTAGACAGGAATTGCATTCCTGTTCAAATTGCATGCTATTCTTTGAGGTGCAATTTGCATCCTTACATTTTGTATTGGTAAACAGTATCAGCGAGTACTTGACCCAAAGTATCGGTACTCCTACTTTCCAATTTAAAAAAAGGGTTTCAGTGCATCCCCTATATACACTGTATATCATTTTTTCTTTTTACTGTACTGAATGGCTTTCATTCATGACTCATTGTTTACTATTGCAATTGCTGTGATTTGCTACAGCTATCACATGGTACAGGGCCGCTGTTATTGGCCCTGTACTATGTGACTGATCACAGAGATCACAATAGTAAGCAAGCTGACATGAATGAAAGCCTTTCATGACAGCTGTGTTCACTTGTTTTCATGTGGTTGCTGTGATTGGTCACAGCGATCACATGGTACCTGGGCCAATCACATGAGCCCAGTACCGAGCACTGTGATCATTCACAGATTGCACCACTGTGTGCCCCAGGGAATGTGTGAGTGGGACAACATCTGGGGATGTCCTCCTGGAACTGGATAGCACTCGATAGGCTGTATATGTGCATTGGCCGGGTGGAAAGTGGTAATATGGTCTCGCAGCAAAAAGGTGAAAATGTTGAATTTATTTCTGTAATTTTCCAGGGTATGTCTAAATCTGATTGGTAGGTATGTGGAAACAAAGGTGTCAGGAATGGACTGGCCAGCAATGGTGGGACTCACCTGCCTTATGAGCTGCAGTTTCAGGGCTGGCCAGCGGTGCTCCCAGCAATCAGAGACTCAACCTTGCAGCCAGTCAAACACCTGGAACTGATTATACTGGTGTATTTAAGGGATGGCCAGACCTGCAGACTCGGCCTTGGTGTGTGTTTCTCCTGGGCCCTGTATCCTGCTCCCTGTCCCTGTCCCTGTCCCTGTTCCTGCTCCCTGTCCCTGTTCCTGTTCCTGCTCCCTGTTCCTGTTCCTGTCTGATTCGTTGCTGACCCTGCTCTGATCCCTGGCTTTGTCTGACCATTCTCCTGCTCCTGATCCCTGGCTTGTCTGACCATTCTCCTCTGCCTGACCCTCTGTACCACTCTGCCCGCTACCTGCTGAACCTGGCTTGTGACCCCGACCATTCTCCGCTTGCTCCCCCTGTACCTACCTGCCCGATTGATATTGACCCGCCTGCCTGACGACGCTTGTATTGTATGTACTGTCATCTGTGGGTGGTTGGTTTGGTTTGTTTGCACTGTGTTATGTTTTAGTATTGCACTGCGTTTATGTTTGTATTGTTAGTGTTAATAAATTATATTGTTTATAACATATCTGAAGTCTGCGTTTCCCTGCGTCAGTCACACACCTCTGGTCACACCCGGGAGCCCTGACATTACACCAAGGCCCATCCTGACCAGAAGTGGCTGCACAGGGAAGCCATCTTGGTTTGTTGATGGGAAGGATGGATCTTGATGAGGTTGTGTATTTATATCTGCTAGTGTTTGATGACAGAGAGTATGCTTATCAAACTCTGAAGGAGTATCCCCGGGATGAACTGCTAGAATGTATACGGCTCGCTCATGTTCTAGTAGATCAGGGCACAGAATTCTCTGAGGTGCAGCCATTGATTCAGATTTGTGCGGAGTTGGTTTCATCTGGTACCCCCGAATGCAGGGATGAATTTTTGCCGCCATTTAGTGCCGACCAGGTAGAGTCCCTGGTATGGTTATTAGAGGATGATGTGGATTGCTTCTTGGAGCATTATGCTGCATGTTCACCACAGACACTAAGAGATTGTATAAACGCAGTGCAGTCTTTGGTCAGACAGGCTTTGTGTAAGCTCAGCTTTGTTCAACCCATACTGCAGACATGGACAGATTTGTTGCACCCAGCCTCAGTCAGCCTACAAAAACCCAGTCCTGCTTCTAATCTATTTCCTCAAAGCTCTATTCCTGCATTCCCAACAGCTCCTCCTGCCCTGCTATCTACCGCATGTCAGTACCCTGTTCCCACTCGCTGCACCTATCCTGCCTTTAACCCTGTAAAAAAGCCCTCTGTAGCAACTGCTCCCTCTCCTGTTCCATCCTCCAGCTCTTCTCTGTCTCCAGCTGCTCCATTCGTTTGCAGACCTGCGTTTACTTGCAGTGCTCCAGTAGTTAAAACCAGAAAAAAGCGAAAATTCTTTCCAACCAATACCATCCTGCCAGTATCCAAACCGGTCAGCCTGCCGTCTGAGAACCTGCCTTCCGTGGTTCAGCCTGGTGCCTCGGCACCCGCACTTCAGCCTGATGCCTGTACCCAGCCTGATGCCTGTCTTCAGCCTGATGCCTGTCTTCAGCCTGATGCCTCTCTTCAGCCTGATGCCTCTCCCAGCCTGATGCCTCTCTTCAGCCTGATGCCTCTACGCAGCCTGATGCCTCTCTTCAGCTGATGCCTCTACTCAGCCTGATGCCTCTACTCAGCCTGATGCCTCCACTCAGCCTGATGCCTCTACCCAGCATGATGAGAACTGATCCAGCCTGATGATCCTATTAGGCCAGTTGACTCGAGGCCCGCTGTTGATCCAGATGATCCGGTACCTGATCCGGTGCCCGCTGTCGTGCCATTGACTCAGAGCCCGCTGTCGTACCTGGTGACTCGGTGCCCACTGCCTTGCCAGATGACGCGGTGCCCGCTGGCGAGCCAAATGACCTGATGCCTGGTGACCCAGTGCCCGCTGTCATACCTGGTGACCCAATGCCCGCTGTCGAGCCAGACGATCCAATGCCTGGTGACCCGGTGCCCACTGCCTTGCCAGATGACGCAGTGCCCGCTGGCAAGCCAAATGACCTGATGCCTGGTAGCCCAGTGCCCCCTGTCATACCTGATGACCTGATGCCCGCTGTCGAGCCAGACAATCCGGTACCTGATAACCCGGTGCCCGCTGTTGTGCCAATTGACTCAGAGCCCACTGTCGTGCCTGGTGAGTTGCCGGATGACGCGGTGCCCGCTGTTGAGTCAAATGACCTGATGCCTGGTGACCCGATGCCCGCTGTCCAGCCAGACGATCCAATGTCTGACCCAGTGCCCGCGGTCATACCAGTTGACTCGGAGCCCACTGCCTTGCCAGATGATGCGGTGCCCGCTGTCGAGCCAAATGACCTGATGCCTGATGACCCGATGCCCGCTGTCCAGCCAGACGATCCAATGTCTGACCCAGTGCCAGCGGTCATGCCAGTTGACTCGGAGCCCACTGTCGTGCCTGGTGACTCGGTGCCCGCCGCTCCGCCTGGGGGCCTGAGACCTGTCGCTCCGCCTGGGGGCCTGAGACCTGCCGCTCCGCCTGGGGGCCTGAGACCTGTCGCTCCACCTGGGGGCCTGAGACCTGTCGCTCCCCCTGGGGGTCCGGCGCCCGCCGCTCCGCCTGGGGGCCCGAGACCTGTCACTCTCCGCCTGGGGGTCCGGCGCCCGCCGCTCTGCCTGGGGGTCCGGCGCCCGCCGCTCCGCCTGGGGGCCTGAGACCTGTCGCTCCGCCTGGGGGCCTGAGACCTGTCACTCCGCCTGGGGGCCTGAGACCTGTCGATCCGCCTGGGGGCCCGAGACCTGTCGCTCCGCCTGGGGGTCCAGCGCCCGCCGCTCTGCCTGGGGGCCCGAGACCTGCCGCTCTGCCTGGGGGTCCGGCGCCCGCCGCTCCGCCTGGGGGTCCGGCGCCCGCCGCTCCGCCTAGGGGCCTGAGACCTGTCGCTCCGCCTGGGGGCCTGAGACCTGTCGCTCCGCCTGGGGGCCTGAGACCTGTTGCTCCGCCTGGGGGCCTGAGACCTGTCGCTCCGCCTGGGGGCCTGAGAACTGCCGTTCCGCCTGGGGGCCTGAGACCTGTCGCTCCGCCTGGGGGCCTGAGACCTGTCGCTCCGCCTGGGGGTCCGGCGCCCGCCGCTCCGCCTGGGGGCCCGAGACCTGTCACTCCGCCTGGGGGTCTGGCGCCCGCCCGCTCCGCCTGGGGGTCCGGCGCCCGCCGCTCCGCCTGGGGGCCTGAGACCTGTCGCTCCGCCTGGGGGCCTGAGACCTGTCGCTCCGCCTGGGGGCCTGAGACCTGTCGCTCCGCCTGGGGGCCCGAGACCTGTCGCTCCGCCTGGGGGTCCGGCGCCCGCCGCTCGCCTGGGGGCCCGAGACCTGCTGCTCTGCCTGGGGGTCCGGCGCCCGCCGCTCCGCCTGGGGGTCCGGCGCCCGCCGCTGCGCCTGGGGGCCTGAGACCTGTTGCTCCGCTTGGAGGCCTGAGACCTGTCGCTCCGCCTGGGGGCCTGAGACCTGTCGCTCCGCCTGGGGGCCTGAGACCTGTCGCTCCGCCTGGGGGTCCGGCGCCCGCCGCTCCGCCTGGGGGCCTGAGACCTGTTGCTCCGCTTGGAGGCCTGAGACCTGTCGCTCCGCCTGGGGGCCTGAGACCTGTCGCTCCGCCTGGGGGCCTGAGACCTGTCGCTCCGCCTGGGGGTCCGGCGCCCGCCGCTCCGCCTGGGGGCCTGAGACCTGTCGCTCCGCCTGGGGGTCCGGCGCCCGCCGCTCCGCCTGGGGGCCCGAGACCTGCCGCTCCGCCTGGGGGTCCGGCGCCCGCCGCTCCGCCTGGGGGCCCGAGCCTGTCGCCCTGCCTGGGGGCCCGATGCCTGTCGCCCCGCCTGGGGGCCCGATGCCTGTCACCCCGCCTGGAGGCCTGATGCCTGTCGCCCCTCCTGGGGGCCCGATGCCTGTTGCCCCTCCTGGGGGCCCGGCGCCCGCCGCTCCGCCTGGGGGCCCGATGCCTGACGCCCCGCCTGGGGGCCCGAGGCCTGTCGCCCCGCCTGGGGGCCGAGGCCTGTCGCCCCGCCTGGGGGCCCAATGCCTGTCGCCCCGCCTGGGGGCCCGGTGCCTGTCGCCCCGCCCAGGGGCCCGGTACCTGCTGCTCCGCCTGGTGGCCCGGTGCCTGCTGCTTCGCCTGGTAATCCGATGTGCCTCTGCCCGGAGTCCAGCCCGATGTGCCTCTGCCCGGAGTCCAGCCCGATGTGCCTCTGCCCGGAGTCCAGCCCGATGTGCCTCTGCCCGGAGTCCAGCCTGATGTGCCTCTGCCCGGTGTGCCTCTGCCCGGTGTGCCGCTGCCCGGAGTCCAGCCCGATGTGCCTCTGCCCGGAGTCCAGCCCGATGTGCCTCTGCCCGGAGTCCAGCCCGGTGTGCCTCTGCCCGGAGTCCAGCCCGGTGTGCCTCTGCCCGGTGTGCCCCTGCCCGGTGTGCCGCTGCCCGGAGTCCTGCCCAGTGTGCCGCTGCCCAGAGTCCTGCCCGGTGTGCCAGTCTTTGATATCCCGCCAGTTACCAGACCCGGGTGGTGGAACATTTTGCCCAGCTAGGACTGTTTGGAGCGTCCTGAGGCCGCTCCTTGAGGGGGGGTACTGTCAGGAATGGACTGGCCAGCAATGGTGGGACTCACCTGCCTTATGAGCTGCAGTTTCAGGGCTGGCCAGCGGGTGCTCCCAGCAATCAGAGACTCAACCTTGCAGCCAGTCAAACACCTGGAACTGATTATACTGGTGTATTTAAGGGATGGCCAGACCTGCAGACTCGGCCTTGGTGTGTGTTTCTCCTGGGCCCTGTATCCTGTTCCTGTTCCTGCTCCCTGTTCCTGTTCCTGTCTGATTGGTTGCTGACCCTGCTCTGATCCCTGGCTTTGTCTGACCATTCTCCTGCTCCTGATCCCTGGCTTGTCTGACCATTCTCCTCTGCCTGACCCTCTGTACCACGCTGCCCGCTACCTGCTGAACCTGGCTTGTGACCCTGACCATTCTCCGCTTGCTCCCCCTGTACCTACCTGCCCGATTGATATTGACCCGGCCTGCCTGACGACGACGCTTGTATTGTATGTACTGTCATCTGTGGGTGGTTGGTTGGTTTGTTTGCACTGTGTTATGTTTTAGTATTGCACTGCGTTTATGTTTGTATTGTTAGTGTTAATAAATTATATTTATAACATATCTGAAGTCTGCGTTTCCCTGCGTCAGTCACATACCTCTGGTCACACCCCGGAGCCCTGACAAAAGGACAGTTTTCAAGACAAATGATGGCTGTGTGAGTAATGCAGGCCATAGATGGGTCAAAAATCGGTTGATTTTTCGGCCGATTTTCACACTGTTGATGGGTTAATTGGTCAGCCGTTTTTCTGGATTTTGGCACATTTTTTGATCGGTAAATTTGGAAAACAATCGTCTGATTTTGCCGATTGGCTGATTTTCACGGCAATGATGGGCAAATCGGCCGATCTTTTTACCAATAAAAAATCTGCGCATGAGCCGTGAGAAGAAGAAAAAGAATTCCAGTCCGCTATTATATTTGTCATGAAAAAAGTATTGCGGTTGCAACAATGTATCTATTTGTATCTGAATAAAAACATCTGTATCCGAAATGGATACAAATAGATACAATGTTGTAACCACAATACTTTTTAATGTCAAATATAAGAGCGGAGCTCTCTGCAGGGCACAGAAGTAAATAAATGCCGGCCGTAGACGTGACGAAAATCAGCTGATTCTTTTTATTGTTGGTGGTAACGTCGGCCTATTGAACGACCGATTTTTCATTTTTTTGTTAAAAAAACGCCCGGTTTTCGATCCATCTATGGCCTGCATAAGGGATGGGTAAAATCTCTGTCAGTTTTTTCCCCATCACTTTCCTGGTGGCAATGAGACTGGGGGGCGTGCGCTGCCCTACACGCACCACTATTGGTTGTTGGGGATGTCAATCACCAGGTCCCGGCTTAGCGATCGTTGGCAGGGCTGAGAGGGGAGAGAGCTGTGTGTGCACAACACAGAGATACAAAGCGGCATGTCTCCCAAGTAAAACAGCACACAGTAAAACACACACACACAGCACATTGTTAACCCTCTAATCAGCCCAGATGTTAACCCCTTCCTGCTCAGTGTCATTAGTACAGTGCCATTGCTTTTTATTAGCACTGATCACTGTATTAGTGTCACTGGAGAGGTCAGTGGCAGTCGGTTCCCACCCAGTGTCAGAATGTCCATCGCATCCCACTATAAGTCACTGATCACCACCATTACTAGTATAAAAATAAATAAATAAAAATTCCAGTATATATACCCCCATTTGTAGATGCTATAACTTCTACATGAACTAATTAATATACACTTATTTTGGGGTTTTTTTTATTTAGCAAAGACGTAGCAGAACACATTTTGGCATAAATTTATGGAGAAATGTTATTTTTTTAATTTTTTAAAAGTCAAAAATATTGTTTTGTTTTTTTTAATTGTCGGTCTTTTTTTTGTTTTTAGCGCAAAAAAAAAAAAAAAAAATGCAGAGATGATCAATTACCACTAAAATAAAGCTCTATTAGTGGGAAAAAATGACAAATTTAATTTATGTACAGCATTGCATGACTGTGCAATTGTCAGTTAAAGTAACACAGCGCTGTATTGCAAAAAATGGCCTGTTCAGGAATGGGGGTAAATCCTCTGAAGGACATGTGGGGTGTGGACTGCAGAGGGAGAGAAATAATTAATTTTTTCCCTGTACAAATCTTTAGTAACACCTCATCTGGAATATGCAGTTCAGTTTTGGGCACCAATTCACAAAAAGGATATTGGGGAACTGGAGAAAGTGCAGAGAACCAAACTGATAAGAGGCATGGAGGAGCTCAGCTATGGGGAAAGATTAAAGGAACTGAATTTATTCTCTCTTGAAGAGATTAAGGGGGGATATGATCAAATTGTAGTAATACATAGGTGGTCCATATAGCGAACTTAATGTGGGGTTATTCTCACAGAGCCGTGGTAGTTCTTTGAGAACTGCAAGCTGTCAGCTGCAAAGGCTGTCAGAACTTCTTCTCCACTCACAGAAAACTGAATGAAGGATGAAGCTGCTAGCTATCAAAACAGAGGATTTGGGGGGGGGGGGGGGTTCATAAGACCTTACATCCGGAATATGGGTGGAACATGTTATATGGTGAACTTATCCTTTAATGTATGTTTCGAGTCTGCCATATATGTATTTCAGTATGTGTACAATCTTTTGAGTGTCCTGTGACAAATGTCAAGAAATATTTTTGGTTTTGCTGTAAACTCCAATTTTGTCAATAAAACTAGTTTAACCTCCCTGGCGGTATTCCCGAGTGTAGCTCGGGGTAAGGTTTCAGTACCACAAGCGGTAACCCCGAGCTACACTCGGGAATACCATGCGGCGCTGCTCCACGATCCCTGTATCACTTACCTTGTCCTGCGCTCCCACGATGTCCCTCCTGCAGTGTCCCCGACAATGTAATCCGGCGGATGCCAGCATCTGTCATCTGGGTTCCGTCCCCTGTGAGCGTCGGGACGTACGGGGGACGGAACGGCGGGAAATTCAAAAATGACAAGAAGTGACATTCACTAAAATCACATAGTATTCCATTACTGTATCAAACCATATCACATACATTTTGTCCCGAGTGCTTTGTCCTGTGTCCTGCCTGCATTTTTACTGTTCTTATTGCCTGGAAACTGAGAAATGTCCATGGTGTTCAAAAAGCGTCACTTTAGGTCAAAAGCGGTTTTAGACCAGCTAGAGAACAGCGATAGTAAATCAGAACCACTTGCAGAATTGAGTGATAATGATTTGTGGGGAAATTCGTCATCAAACAGTGAAAACGATTTTGCGACTTTGCTCAGTGATGTGCGAACTTGGCGCTATATTTCAAATTTAAGTGTTTTTGGTTTGATTATATTATTAAATTAAATTTATAATTATTATATTATTATTTTTATGATTATTTATTAAATTATAATTTATGATTTAGTGTTTCAAATTTTATCATACCCGGGATGTTTACTAGACTCTTGTTCGGACAGATTTCAGTGAGTTATTCCTAAAAATTACAGCCTACAATAAAAAAAAAACATATTTCCATGCAAAAAAAATGGTACCGCTTTCAGCACCAAAAATCTGAAATAATCATACCGCCAGGGAGGTTAATCTCTTGCTGCCTCACAAGTAGGTCTTATTCCACAAAACAGCATTTATACTCATCTGTGTTTGTGCTGGGAGTGCACTGCACAGCGCACTCCCACCACAGAGACCGGGCTCTCACTGAAAGGCCCAGGTATCGTATTAACATTGGGAACTGAATGTACTGTATCAGTTCCCAATCACTTGATTCATAGAAAATCAGAAGCTATCACAGAACAGTGATCATTCACTGTGCAGCCAACCAGTTTTTTTTTGTTTTCCTCTTTCTCCTCTTGAATGGAGAAGATACATTGTATCTTCTTCTCCTTGCCAGAGGGGGGAATGTTAATTAACCACTTGCACTCCTGAGGATTTACCCCCCTAATGACCAGGCCTCTTTTTGCTACTCGGCGCTGCACTAATTCAACTGATAATTGCGCGGTCATGCAATGCTGCACCCAAACTAAATGTACGTCCTGTTTTTCACACAAATAGAGCTTTCTTTTAGTGGTATTTGATCACCTGTGTGCTTTTTATTTTTCACGCTATAAACAAAAAAAGACCGAAAATTTTGAAGAAAAACAATATTTTTTACTTTCAGCTATAAAAAATATATAGTAAACTCAAAGTTAGTTATAAATTTAGGCCAAAATGTATTCTGCTACATGTTTTTGGTAAAACAAAATCCCAATAAGTGTATATTGATTGCTTTGTGTGAAAGTT